ATTAGAAACTGCAAAGACAAAAAGTACCTTCTTATTGATATAGCAGTCACTGCAGACTGCAATACCTTTAAAGATTTTCAAAAAGCTATCTAATCGAAATCTCAAAAATGTGGCACAGGGAAACATCAACAATCCCTGTTGTAGTTGGAGCCCTCGGATTGGTTGGAAAAGATTCCAGTAGACTTATTATAGGGATTCCTGGAAGCCCAAGCCTTAAAGAAATACAAAAATTGTTCTCACGAGTACAGACCACACCTTAAAAAGGGCTTTATCTATGTATAGTATGTATTTTTTTTTACTTGGTCTGTGGAAAATGTCATGATGCCATTTCTGACCTTAGGTCTCTGGGCGAGACCCAGAGAGAAATGTGTACACACGAGAAATCAAAGGAAATAAAAAATAAAAAATGAGAATAAGAATAGGTGTTTGGACCCCGAGGAGATATGACGTTTTTCGAGGCTCCATTGAAACGTAAAATGTATAATGGATTTAATTTAGTTTCAGCGTAATTTTCTTTCCAAATGAATTTCAACATAATTATTTTTTTAATGAATTTTATGTATCTTTTTTTTATTTCCTTTCTGATGTTAATTTAATTTTTGTTGTAATTTTGTGTTTTTGTTTTATTTCATTAATATTTCAGAAATATAACGTAAATATCCAACTGATTTTATTTTAAATCTATTTGACTATAAATCATAATTTATTTAAATTCTTACTAAAAAAAAACTGTATTGAAAACGATTATATTCCTTAAATATATATTTGATGTATGTGTATATATATATATATATATATATATATATATATATATATATATATATATTAATTTGCTCATTACTTCAAGTTATATTTTAAATTAATGATATTTTAATTTTAAAGACATCTTATTAAGTGACAGATTGGTTATTGGCATCACTGCCATTGTAGTTGGCAGCATTGCTGTTTCAAGGATGTTTTTTTTTAAATCTGTATCTCAAAACGACGTCTCTGAATTACAAAAGCGTCGCTTCGGAGTAGTCACTGAAGCAAATTGTTGAAAGTTACAAGACAGATACTGCTGACAGGAAGAATAAATGAAACACAATGCAATAATAATAATAATAATAATAATAATAATAATTGTAGTAATAGCAATGATGATAATAATATTATATTTGTATATATGTGTATGTATATGCACTGGTATATATATATATATATATATATATATATATATATATATATATATATATATATATATATATACCAATTGGTTGACCCAAGTCTTGTAAGTGAAATTGGGTAGACGGAACACTTAGGGGACCGTCGATAGCTCTACTAGCACCAAGTCACAAGTAATCGTGGCTGATAAACAACTCTCTCCCTGAAACTGTAACTAAGGTCTGATTAGCATAGTTGATATATAAACCACAGGTGTGCTCTTGGGATTAAAATATATGTACATGTATTGTCGAATGACCGGATATTGTAGCGTCTTGTCGAACGTAATTTCAACGAAGAAATAAATTGAATAACATATGTATTTTTTCTTTTCTCCTCAGTAATTTTATAGTTTTTAAACTTAATAGTGATTAAATTTGGATTTTAAAATTGGCAGTTTTTAATTTTAATATCAAATTTTATCATATAATTTTATAATTATTGGTTAGAATAAATTCTTTTTAATATTACCCGTATTTTAAAGAAAAAAAGATCTGAATAGCTATTATAACATGATTTCGTTGTCAAGCTTTTGAATCTTCCTATACTTGGGTTTTGATTGGTCATTCTAACTTTTGTAACAATGTTTTCCTCTAGCGAAGGATCGTTAATTAATTTGAAACTTTTAAAACCATTTATTTTATATTCAACATCATCACTTGATATGACACCGAGGGTGTTGAAACAAAATGGCTATTTTTGTAGTGATTTTATAACATATTTATTTTATAAATTTTTTTATAAAAAAAATAATATATATATATATATATATATATATATATATATATATATATATTGTGGTTAGTAAAAAGCCACAAATTAAATTTTAGATTAATAATATTTTAATTTTAGAGACACGTTATTAAGTTATAATATTTGTTGATATACCTAATATGTAATCAGTTGCTATTAGTTTTAATCTTTTTTGACGCAAATCTTTATTTTTTGTACTTGATTCGGGCAGAGCATTGGACAGTTTGGACTCTTATTATTGACTAGACGGTAGGGCCACTGAAATTTCAGGTTATAAAGCATTGAAGTTGATTTCATCACTGAAAGAAGGGAAAAGAAGGAAATTGTCTGTTTGGGGGAAGTTGAAATAAAAATATTTACTATATAAACAAATTGTATTTTTAAATCTTATTCATTTTTTTTTTTTTAATCAGATTAACTTAAAAGTATTTTTTAATATGCCAAGAAATATTTTAAAATCATATTCACTTTTTTTTTTATCTAAATATGGTAAAATATATTTGTTTTTGCTTTAATATTTAAAATATTGTTTGTTTAATGAAAGCTGAAATAAAGCAATCACAGAGGTGGAAAGAGAGAGAGAGAGAGAGAGAGAGAGAGAGAGAGAGAGAGAGAGAGAGAGAGAGGGGTGAAGAGAGAGAGGGATGGAGAGAAACTTAAATCCTTATTCACCCGATGGCCGACCTATGCACAATTCGCAGTCTTTTAGTATTAGATAGATAGATAGATAGATAGATAGATAGAAATAAATAATTAGATAAATAAATAAATAAATAGACTGAGATAGATAGATAGATAGATAGATAGATAGATAGATAGATAGATAGATAGATAGATAGGAAGAAAAATGTGAGACAAAGAGGGATGCAATAGTAGTAGTGATGGTAGTAGTGGTTTGGTTTGATTTGGTTTGTTTTACGGTATATCAACGTCTATGAGTTATTAAATGCCGACATATTTTTATTGCTAGTAATATATTTTTTTTAAAATGTATTGCTGCTAATACTTTTTTCTACAAAAATATATTGCTGGTAATGTTTTTTTCCTTCAAAAATTCATTGCTGGTAATATTTTTACAACAATGTATTGCTGGTATTAAAACCTATTTTTATACTTTCATAGTGTTTTGACCCCAGTTTGTGGGGGGTACCTATTTACCCATAATTGGGACCCTAACAGGTGCTACCACCCTGGGTCAAAGTGGACCCGAGAACACCAGCAATTAAGAGGTGGTTCCACGCTCCTCAAAACCTCCTGATCAGAGGGCTTGCTGTCGGACGTAGTTTATCGTCTTACCCAGGAAACGACTGTAGTTTATCGTCATACCTAGGAAGGAGTAGTAGTGATAATGGTGATGACGGTGGTGATTGTGGTGACAGTGACTTCTTAATTATTTTTTGATGTTCTTTTTTTATTTATTTATTAGTAATTTATATACAATATTTATTTTATACAATATAAAAATACAAACACTTAAAATAAACTTTAAAAAAATATTATTAGTAATTATATATTAATTGTATTTATGGGTAAAACATATTCGTGTAATAAAAGGATTAGGGAGATTTGAATATAGTTTCATATCATTGAACATAAGAGAGAAAAAAGTTAAAGAAGATTCTGTTGAAAATTGAAGTTATGTCGGAGTCTGATGAAGCACGTCGTGTCTTCTTAAGATCTAAACACCTATAAACGAAGAATTTACCGTTGTTGTTCACAATAGCAATAGTGAAAAAGTAAAACAAAATAAATAAATAAATGAATAAATAAAAAAAAATAATTAAATAAAAATAGCCAGAGGAGGCCTGATTACCTGAAAGTGATGGCTCACCATGATATGGATATTCAGGAAGTGTATGCTTATTGACATAGCAACGTCATCTGAGAGAAACACGTGAAAATATACAATGCTGCTCTGAGAACACTGTTAACAGATAAACCACCGGGAAACATCACAGAAGTTAACAACGTCATATACGCAACAGCTTTAGCAGCGACTCGGAAGCTTGGGTTCAAGACAATAAATAAAATTAACAGACACAGAGAACCAGCTTGGAAAACCAAACTGATACGAGAAATAAAACAAATCAGATGTGAGCTTTCTATATTAGATAAGCTCACCAGAAACCCTAATATTTCCACACGTAAATCCAAAAAGATCAAGCGGAAATATAGCATTAAATACCTAATTGATATTCCATCAATCAAGGAAATGCTGAAACAGAAACTTCAGCTAAAGGCACAGAGAACAAGACGATACGAAAAACGTTGTAGGTTCTATCGCCAAAATAAAATATTCCGAACAGATCTTAAGAAATTTTACAGGGAAATTGGAAAAACACCTATACATGTCGAAAGGCCACCATCGATTGATAATGTACAGACATTTCGGGAAAATATTTGGAGCAGCCCAAAGGAATATAACCCAAATGCAGAATGGATATGGCGTGAAGAAGAACGACTGCTGGATACACCTCTGCAAGAATGGGAAAATATATCCACAGATGATGTTTGGCAAGCTCTAACGAAATCCCAAAAATGGAAATCCCCAGGAAATGACAAGTTGCCCAATTTCTGGCTGTATCATCTCTCATCTACCCATGAAATTCTTGCAAAAACATTATCAACACTTGTAAATAATCCCAATAAAATCCCGGAATGGATTATTGAAGGTATTACACGCCTCATACCAAAAACAACTGAAACAGAAGACCCGAAAAATTATAGACCGATAACATGTCTCTCCACAACGTATAAGTTAATCACGTCTGTACTGACGAACCGTACTTATTCCTTTTTCGAAACAAACAGCATTCTCCAGCTGGAAAAGAAGGGATGCAGAAGAGGTTCATATGGCTGCAAAGATCAACTTCTGATAAATAAAATGATCCTGGAAAATTGCAGGAGACAACGCAGGAATCTAAGTGCAGCGTGGATTGATTATCGTAAAGCCTTTGATAGTGTTCCACATTCTTGGATCCTTAAGACTTTGGAAATGTACAAAGTCTCCCCTGTGGTATTAAATTTCCTTAAGCACAGCATGG